AGGCTTCGTCGTAGCGGTACAGGTCGACTGCGGTGAGATTCTGCAGTCATGTTAGCTATGTTTGACAAAGCGCGACAGCGTTAGGGCCAGCCGCGAAGATAGCAAGGGAAAAAGCGCCTCTTACCTCGTTGTGTATAGGTCGAAAAGCGGAATCTCCAAGCTTGTCGAAATATTCATCGATGTACTGATATGGGCCATCGCAGGCCACGAATGCGCAGTCGATGATACCATTGGCACCGGCAAGGTCGGATAACGTGCCGTCATTTTTTCGCTTTTCGAGATAGTTGAACAGCCCTGACAATGTCAGCGGCTATACTTGTACTGCGAGATGGTTCCACTCACCCTGCAAGTTGAACCCTGAAGATGGACCGCAGACCAGACCTGCGCGGCAGAGTGCCAGGGATAGACTGAAAGCATCCTTGGAGCCCACCTCCTCAATGGCATCCACGGAGTCGCGCCATGGGAATTCGACAGGGCTCAAAAGAGCGAGAGATCTAGGTCCTGGAACTCGATCGCCGGCGGCGGTGCAGACACTGGGCACTTGGTTAGGCTACATCTCCATAAACGGTGATAATCTGTCGACTCACCCTAATCGAACCACAGACGGTTTCGCTGACTTGAAATATTGCCCGAGCCCCGTCATCGTCCCAGACGTACCCATGCCCGCGCACATGAGACGAATGTTGGGTAATTGTTGATGGATTTGCGGTCCGGTCCATTTGACGTGCGATTGCCAGTTCTTAAGACATCAGCTTATGCCGCGTCGACTAAAGGTGATGGGGTAGCTTACTGCGTCGTTTTCGTATTGATTGACGTTGAGGATTGCTTCGTCTTTTTCGGCCATGGTTCTAGCTCGATGTATGCCGCCGCGTTCGTCGTGTGGTTCTGGTTGAGAAGGGCCACCAAAGAGCGTACTGCCAGTGAGTTAGATGGCTTCGAGACACAAATGATTCCCGCTCGTACATGTCCAGTCCGAAGAATTGCATGAGCCTAAGTTTTGGAGCCGAAGTCTTGTTGCTCAAGAAGGCGCGAACATCTTGTATCCCGTGATTGATACGAGACACCATGGCCAGAGATATGACGGTAGATCCTGAACTGTACTCGACTACTGTCTTAGACTTCTCCGGGTGGACCTCTTTGGTCAACATGTTCAACGCTGGCGTCGCATTAGCAATGTGAGATGCTGAATACGCGCTTCTACTTCGCACATACCAGGCATAATCTTGACGTTGTTCGAGGGATGCATAGACATCATCTTCGCATGTATCCTGACACCATCGTTGTAGTACGGGTTCAAGCTTGGCGGAATCTCAACGAGAGGAATCATTGGTGTGCGGTCAGGGTCGAAGTAGTTCTGGAGAGCATCTGGGCCCGAATAGGCGTTCAAGTAATTCCGTGAGACCATATTGAAGTGAGCAAAAGTTGTACGAGACAGTACGAGTGTAGCCCAAGCGCTGGAACGGACTGCTCTTTAACTGAGCGCTTTCGCGGTGACACATCGGAGCCTGCCTGTCGAAGTCGATATTGAACCAAATGATCTACAGCACCGGGATATTTTTGCGTGGGCATCATGCAACATGCAACGATGAAGGTGCTCATCGGTGTCACTTCATGGATGCTAGTGCTGGGGCGAAGATCAATCCCGAAGTGGGACTCGTACGGTAGGATTCCCGCTGCGGCCATGGGAACGTCCCGCATCGGCCAAGACGTGTTACTATAATTTAGGGGCGAGAGCGTAACACAGGAGTTTCCTTGACAGGGCTCATTGGACGGGATGGTGATGGTCGTTGATGGCTTCGAGGCACATTGAGGCACATTGAGCACATTGATGGCGGCGAGTCAGGACGAGACGCGCTTGTGCTAGTGTATTTTCGGACTAGCGTTGACGCGACATGGGCCACCCCACGGGTGTTCTGGAGTTCCAAATGTCATAAACCTCGCCATGTGTCGGCCTGACACGACGACAGGGTATGAAAGCACGTCTGACGCGCAGACGTTGCAATTCTTCACCGAAACCCACCCCTGCGTGGAGCACATGCGCATAGTCGCCTTCATTGTACTCAACAGCGTTCCCGGTGAGCGCGCCACGAACTGGACGTGCTGCGACACCAATTGCTTGTTGCAAATTGCTGGTAGCTGCCAGTCATAGTACCTGGGCATAAGAACATTGGCATCCAACAGGACCAAAGAAGCTAGGGCACGAGCGTAGACGCTTACACATCTAGTTTGCATCACCCACTTTGCAAGGATGTATCCGGCTCCTGGCGTCTTACGTTTTCGGAGGTATACACAATGTGGAAGATCAAATGATCGGCGTGGATGGACCAGGTTGAGTACTACATGTCAGATTGCGGTCCCAGACTGCGTTGGCATCTGCACCGACGTTGTCTCCACCGCTTCAAGTCGTAATCATATCTGTCGAGCTCGGCCCGTGTTGAGTCGTGCTATTCTTTCATCAAGCCATCCCAAGACACCACAGACTTCGTGAAGACGAAACATCGAACCTTTCTGAACCATGGCGACAGAAGATCAGCCCCAGGCTACCATGAGCACACCGGACAAATCTCTTGCGGAACCCTCCTCTGTTCAGGCGCCGAAACAGCCTCCAGAATTCAACGAACAAACCAGTACGGTATGCGCAGATGACATTCCGAATTTTGCTAACTCCATACTTCAAAGACTATGTACCAGTCAAGACGATCATCACGGTGGGTACTTACCCGGCTATTCTTCCTTTCGGTACTTACGAATCAGCAGATTTTCCTTGCTTGCGCGAGCGTCGACTTGTTGGCTTTGATGGATCAAACAACACTTGCAGCTAGCTTGACCATCGTCAGCAAGGATCTTAATGCCAGTAACGAAAGCGCGTGGATCGCAGGCGCATACTTCTTGACGTCCACGTCATTCCAACTCCTCTACGGACGGCTATCTGACATTTGGTCCCGCAAGGTGCTCTTGGTTATCGGCATTGGCATCTTCTTTCTCGGCTCACTAGCTGCTTCCTTGGCAACTTCCGCTCTGCAGCTGATCGTCTTCCGTGCATTCATGGGCGTTGGAGGTGGCGGCCTCATGACGGTTGCGCAGATGATCGTATCGGACATTGTGCCTCTTCGCGAGAGGGGAAAGTATCAGGGCATACTTGTAAGTGACGTTGCAATGCGTTCTGTGGCATGCCGCTCACTTCATGTCAGGGCTCTGTTGTAGCTCTGGCGAATGGCATTGGGCCAGTGATAGGTGGTGCACTCGCTTCCCAAAGCCACGATTCTTGGTATGGACACCCTACCGACATCCAATCAAAACAAGACTAAGTCAGTTGCAGGAGGTGGATCTTCCGGCTGAACTTGTTCCTATGCGTACTTACCACTGGCTCCGTCATGTTCTTCATGCCACTCAGAAAGGTCAACGGTAGTTGGAAAAGGTCAGTACTGGCTACTTTCGCTCATGTCAAACACTGACAATATCAGGAAATTAGGAGCAATCGACTTTTTCGGAGCGTTCCTGGCTCTCGCTGGGTCTGCATTGCTCGTAGTATGTTGCGCGACATCATCAGTCATTCATCCTGGCCAACGCTGACCATCCTAGCTCGCCTTGACATGGGCTGGTGGAGAGTACGCTTGGGGATCGGCGCATGTCATTGCAACCCTGGTAGTTGGCATTGCAGTCTCAGCTATCTTTGTCGCGTGGCAGTGGAAAGGCACCAGCGTGCCATTGATACCGAGTAGGTTTGCCCCAGGCAACAGGCAAAGCTTCGTGCTGACTCAGACCAGTGACTATCTTCACATCCAAAGTCGTCAACGGTGCCGCGCTAACCATGTTCGTGAACGGCTGGAACTTTCTTGTTCAGGTCTACTACATACCTTCATTCTACCAATTGGTCTATGGCTACTCAGCCGTAAAGTCCGGAGCGCTACTACTCCCCATCACGCTCACACAAAGTAAGACAATGTATCTCATTCGTATCGGTTCGTGTCTGACTCTCACATGAGCTCTCTTCAGCACCCTGTCAGGCCTTATTGTACACTGGACCGGTCGTTACAGAGAGTGCCTGCTGGTAGGCTGGGCGATATGGGCGATTGGTCTGGGCCTGATATCGACACTCGATAGCCCATCTCTCGGAAAGCAGATAGGCTATGGCCTGCTCGCTGGTCTTGGTCTTGGCAACACACTGCAACCCTCACTCATCGCTGTTCAGGCGGGGGTAGAGCGCAAACACATGGCTGTCGTCACCTCGACGCGCAACTTCGTACGCAATCTTGGCGGCACCCTTGGCCTCGCGATCTCAGGCACTGTGATCAACAACGCGGTTCGATCATCACTGGTTCCGTACGGGCTTTCGAGGCCAGAAATCCGGCTGTTGCTCGATTCTCCAGACATGTTTCGGGAGTCGGTCGGCCAAGAGCGTACCGATCTCGTCAGAGCTGCACTTGCTGCAGCGTATCAGCAGGGCTTCCGGATTGTTTTCATCGTCGGCGCAGTGCTCAATGCGCTTGCATTCGTCGCTGCTTGGTTCCTGATGCCTCAGGTGGAGTTGAGCAGAAAGGACGATGCCCAACTGAAAGAGGAAGGCAAGAAAAGAGATGAGGAAAAGCGCGGTACGACTTCCCCTGCATAAATGTTTTGACCAGGAGTATCAGAAAGGACGGCGAGACGCATGATACAACACGACGAGCCAATTTTTGGACATCTGAGATCCAGCGATGATTGCAACTACCGACGACGTAGGATGGATGCCGGGTAAAAAATAGATTACTATCCATAGAGCCATGATTACTATACACCCTAGCCAAACCGGCCCCACATCGAAGAAGTACACTAATGCCCCGCACAGTTACTATAAGTGCTTGTTTCGTTGTCAAGCATAGATAGTAGCCGGGTAACGAAGCTTAATTGCACATTAATTCTATAATGTCGTTCGAAACCATAGTACTATATCAGGCGAGCATCTCTCCAAACATGAGTAGCATCATGATATTTCATTGAGACTATCGACAACCGCAAGCATGCTCACCACTATTCTCATCGCTCTCGCGCTGACTGCAACCGGTCTCTCACAAGCACCAGAAGGCTACCGTACGGTGTACATGACATCGGCGCAAGATACCAAATTCGTCGTTGTACCAAAGTCACGAGCCGCAGGAGCAACACTCGTGGTGTAAGACAAATGTCTCCTTTTTCTTCTAATACCAATGCATTCGGCTAACGTATATCTCAGGCAAACCCTCACGTCTACGCCGGCGCAATCATGGTACATCAAGTCGCCCAATAACGCCACCTCCATCCAGCTCGCATCCACAACACTCTGCATGGACGCTGGACCGAAGTCTGGCTGGAAAGACATGGCCAACATCTACCTCCGCGAATGCGTTGCTGGGAGTGAACAGCAGACCTGGAACGCCATGGCTGATGGACGTATTGCCCTTGCTGCTAGCAGTGGAACGCAGCAATGTGTCGATCTACAGTATCTGCGTGCTGTGCAGAATAACCCGGTCGGGCTGTATAACTGTGCAGGGCTGGGGAACACCGGGGCGGCTGACAAGGGGATTAATTGGCCTTTGAAGAATGCTACAGTCGTGTAGGCGAATGGAAGGGCGGTTGTACAGCATCTGATGTAGCCTAAGCAGTCGAGGATCTACTTGATTCAATCATCAATGACATGTTCGACGTTGGACATAATCGTTTTGCTCATCTAATTGAATGTACATTGTTCCTCCAGGGATTCGATGGTCTCTCGTCATGAACGGGCTGGCGGGCTCATCAGGCGGACAGCCAAATGCAACATTGTGTGGATCTGACGCCGGCCTGGTCGTCAATGTCGAGAAACTGTATCCGCAATCAGCCAGGAGATGGGGCAAATGCCGTTAATGCGTCATAGTGTCGGAGGGTCGTGAGAACGGACGGAGGGTTGCAGATCAGTCAAGGCGATCCCGGGAAGATGGCGGGGCTGCGCACGAGCCCTCTGTTCCACCTCAGCTTCCGGATGTTCAGTCCGTCCAGAACTTACAACTCAGCCGCCATCACGAGCACCCACAGAAGGCATGCGCCGACATCTTTGTATAGATTTAGAGTATCGTAAGCTATCGAGAATCTCCTGAGCCAAATGCTTACACATTAGCGCCCATAGTATGACACGGTAGACAGATGCTTGAACTGCAAAATCGCGCGCCCATCATCCAACGCCAAACCGCGGAACCTCTCCATGACCATGTCCTTCATTCGCTCCGCCTTTTCACCCTGCAGATGGTAGCCAAACCTGTTCCCTGTGCTATCGTTGCACCAATTCCATAGCGCCTCCACGTTCTCCAGCGTACGCGTGCCAAAACCGCGCGATACCTTCACATCGCCAAACCCAGCGGCGCTTAGATCGCGCTGCATCTCCGCCAGGGTCGAAGGCCATATAAAATTATCTATAGGCTCGCCGAGTTCCGCTAAGACATCATCGCGGACGTCTTGGATGGGTAGATGGAATGCGCCGTCCTGAGTCGCGAGACCAATAGCAGTGCCGGGCTTGGCCAAAGTGGCGGCTTGAGCGAGGAAGAGAGGTTTGTCGCTAAACCAGTGGTATGACATGTTGCAGTGTATGGCATCAAACTTCTGTCCTGCGAACATGGAAAGATCGTGCACGTCGGCGACGTGGAGCTCTACGTAGTGCTTGAGCTCCGGATGTTCCTCCAAGGCCTCGCGTGCCCGCTTGATACTGTATTTGTCTAGATCAAACCCTACGACTTTCCCAGTCGGGCCTACAATTCGCGCAATGTCGAGAACGTCGCTTCCGGGACCACAGGCAGCCACGAGGACGTGTTGGCCTTTGGAGATGTTCATCATTTCTGTCAGGGCATGGCCGTAGCCGCGCTGCATCGTATTCGTGCGGCTGTAGCGATCTGCTGTTGTTTCGGTGGCTGTGCCCCATTTCGTGGGTTCTTCGGCTTGGGTAGCGAGGACGGACATGATGAATAAGATTGTAGGCAGTTCTAAGCAGATGGAAATGGTGATGATTTGGGATTGAAGGTGCAACGGCAAGTCCGGAAGCGCCGAGTACTGTGAAGTTATATGCGTAGGGTATGCTGCGATAAGCACTTACGGGAGAGCAATTGGTTGGCATTTCGTACGAGCCGGCAGATCCTATCGACCTCTACTGCGTGGTCTATACCGAGCGGGGGAGGCCCGAGGATATGCCGTCTCTTGGATCTTCAGTCTGACAGCAACGTCATCCAGATATAGCCGCTTCTAATGCTCCCTTGTAAAAGACCGCAATGGGGCCCGTACAGCTATACACGCCAAGCTTCTGGGTAGGGGGAGGGTTATATACAAGAAGCGGCCTCGGCGTCTCTTTCGCCACCACTCTCGCAATACATACGTGTTTTAGACCTATCAATCGCCACAGTTACAGAAAGACTGCGATGACTGAGGCATTGACTTCGACATTTAAGGTTGAGCGGCCCAAGACGTATCAGACAAAGCGTTCCGCGGAGTCTCCGAGCTCAACTACGTTGACATGTGCTTTTTACAGATAGAGTTTGCACTAGTGTGGGACGGCTATATGCCATATCCAACCTTCTTCTCGATATTTGAAACGCGCTGGATTGCAGAGCTTATACTAGTTCGGCGCCTTGAGTTTATTACATATCAACGTCAGTTCTTGTTAAGGCATTTCTCAAACATCTCACTGAGCGATGGGAATAAACCAGCGGATGCATGCTGATATTGTCGCGCATGAGTACAAAATCAACTGTCTTGAGAAAAGATGCTAGCCCGATAAGAACATTTACGTTCACTCTGACGATTAGACTCCAGACCAAAGCGCCAGTATAGTATCTCCATGGTTATCTCTGAGTTTTGCGATCCCAAGATGCGGAGATCATCTTCGCCACCAACGCCGAAATCAATCGCTACTTTCGCCGAGATGTTGATCACGGCCTGTCAATCAATAAAACCGTCGCCCAGTAAATAGGGTTACATACTACCTTCATAACTCTTCTTACCACTCCGACATTCTTACCTTCTTACTCCGATCGAGGGCGGATCTGGTCGCTCAGCCAAGCAAAGACGCGTGAGTTCATCAGCGAATACAAGAGAAGTACTAGTCATTGGTATCCTTCTTCGATGTTGCGGATCCGAACGTGCCATGTAAGGATAAGATTTACGTATACTGTCTTTGGTATCTTAACTCCATCGGCTTTCATGAGGTATCGGAGGCCAAAAGCATGCCTGTCTATGTGCTGCAGAAGTCGCTTCCATGATACTACCTAGGCATTTTTCCACTCACACCAAGAAACATAATGCTAAGGTTACCAACATCACGCACGCACAAGGCTCTGTCTCGATTGTTAACATCGTATCAAACACCACAAACGCTGTTCACAAACACACCTCCCACCTAAAAGTCTAAATACAAATCATCCCATCATACTCAAGACTTACACCACTAATCCCCATCACAAAACCAACCCCAAACCGAAGCCAGCATGTCAGTAACCTCCTTCATCAAATATCTAGTAGACTCCGTGTCCTACAACTGGAACTGCCACCAATGCGGTAGTAATAACGTGGCAAAAGAGCACCCAGCGCAATGCGCCTCATGCTCGCATTTTCATTGCTGGAAGTGTGAAAACATCATTAACTAAGCTGCGTATGATGTCCAGCTAACTTACCTCATTTGCTGCCACGAATATATGTCTCATGACCAGTCTATCCATATGCTAGCTGCGAATACAATTAGGATTTTACGTGCGCTCAAAGAACTTTGTCTGGAAGACATGTGAATGTCGATGCTTGCACATGAATCACAGAGTGACGACTCTTTCTATTAGTCTCGCACAATGCGCGCACACTTTATGAAGCAATACTAGGCATAAAGCGGTGTACTCAATCGAAGTGATACAATGTTCTTGACATTTTTTAGTCTGACGTACCTGATTCTATAAAAGAGAAGTTCTCACTACTCTCAAAGGCTTCTCTCTCTATACCGCCATACATGATATACCATTATCACTTAACAACTGCACGATTGTCTGGTACCTTAGTTTGCTTCTCAAGCCATCATCTCTTTCTCACTTACTCGCGAAGAAACGGCTTGCGCATCTGCTTCGACAATACTACCCTCAACTATGCTCATTTGCAATAACTCATTTATCGGGCTACTTGCCGGTCTATCCTGCATCTCGGCAGCTCCTCTGGAAACCTTGGCGAGTGAAAGCACTTCGATAGCGGCACATAACACTAGAAATGTAAGTCTTATATCTTAGTCTATGCGACTGCGGCTGCGAGTAACCTTTACTAATACCAAAGTTTAACAGGCCCCTCAATTCTCCCTCCAACTTCTGTACAGCGTCTGGGATGAGGATAAATACCTCTACGTCGCCCAACGAGGGAAGCAAGGAATAGCATATGGACCGTGTGGGGGCGACGAAAAGAACAATTCCTTTGAGCTAATCCATTATACAGAATTAGGCAAAGACTCCCGTCCCAACGCCATCGATCATCCTCCGTTTCCCAGTAAAGAAGTAAGTAAACCATCCTTTAACTACTTAAAATATGCTGACCTCGGATGTTTCTTACAGGTTTCATTCCCTATCAAAGTACCCGGCAAAAAGGACTGCCGTTACGAAGGCAATGGCGTCGACGCTGGCCAGATTCGATGTGGAGATGAGTCTGTCGGAAAGTGTGGAGAAGACCCACAGTACGATGAGCCTACGATCAGGTGTTCATGGGGGACAAAGTACCATCGCGGATATGTCTGCGAGTTCTGAGTACCCGTAGACTTGAGTTTGGGCGTTCCGGAATGGATAGTTGGGAGGCAAGAGAGACGTATAGTGGACTGCAGTCATGTGACGAATCCACTGGAGAGGCGTCGCTTATTGTGTTCATATGATGGCGGATGTTAATGTAGACAGCACACGAGTCTTAGTGTTATTGGAAGATTGTGCGCATCGATCGTGATTGCTGCTCTGGTGATTGCTCCTCGTAACGAGTAGCCGATGTTTCGTCGTCGTACATCTAGAAACGTGGTGCTGATACTGTGAAGGGCGACATGCTGGTGGCTACACGTTGGCAAGCGCGAGACCGGAATGCGGACGAAAGGATACTGTGGCCCTGTATGGGATGTGGCGAATGGCAAACGGAAATGAATGGACCGGGCCGCAAGGAGTATCATATCTGCAGCGAAAACATGTTTGCGGTAGTCAGGTCACGCCGGAAAGAGTGAAGTAGTCCGGGTAGCTGTGGTACCATTACTTCTGACACGTCGTGCAATCTTGGCGTCACTTCGGAGTTGTGTATGTGGTACAACATGGTGAAGTAGCAATACTTTCGATGCTTGCTGTGCCGGCTACGCGATCTGGTAAACAGGTCCTCTTACGGCCTCCTACTACATATCAGAAGGCAGGTGGTAAGATGTCCACGGCTGGCTGTCATCTAACACAGCAACTTCGCGGAAGCCGAGATGATGTTCTACCCTTTTCTCTTCCTCTGGGCCAGTCGCTCCCTCGCAATGCCGGCTAGCACCACCGAAGTGTCGCATTCGATAGACGACACAAACCAATACACGATCCTGGACGAGCTTGACATACCATTGCGATTA